GCGAATTCGCATTATTTTCGTATAAAGGAAATACAAATCATGTCCCTTTTTATGAGTGAACAACGAGACGTGACCTCATCCCCGCATCCCGCCCCGAGCAACAGCGTGACATTGCGCGGAGAGCGAAATGAACAACGAACCTAAATAATGATACCAAAATAGCCACGTATTGTTGCTTGAGCTCACGTTCAGCCCTCGGAGACTGCCTACAGGAAACGCGTTATCACTCTCTGCTTCTCTTCCTCTCTCGCTTTCTGGGGATACTCTCTGGTTATCCGTTTATCGTCTTTCTATCTATTCATCTCTTGTTTTTTCTCTCTCTCTGGCTGTCTGTTCGTCTTCTTCTCCCTTCTTCCTCATCTGTCCCTATCTCTTTCTCTCTTTCACACTTGCTCCCTCCCTCTATCCCTCTCTCCTTACAATTTCTCCATATCCCCTTTTCTTCCCTTCCTCCCTCCTTCTCTCCTTCCCACATCCTCCCTCACTCTATCCCTCTCTCCTTATACTTTCTCCATCTCGCCTCTCCTTATACTTTTACACTTTCTCCCTCTCCCTCCTTCTCTCCCTCCCACGTCCTCCCTCACTCTATCCTTCTCCCCTTACACTCTCTCCCTCTCCTCTCTTCCTCTCCCTCTCCCTCACGGCCTCCTGCATACACGAAAGCAGAGCCAGCCATATGGCAACACTCCCTTTATCACTTGTGTTTCCGCTGTGCGTCCGGTTTTTATTATTTTTAGACCGCTTAGTACAACTACGGTTCAGAGAGTTACCTTAACCAGCGCAACAGACGAGAAAATAAAAAAAATAGAAGGAACAGCAAACGAAAAACAAGACAACAGGAAAAAATACTAGAAAATTCACGCGGGGAAAAGGGAAGTAAAAGTAGCATTTGTTGTCTATGAATAGAACAGAAGCGTTTTGTCTACGTGTCATAAGGGTGGGAGTGTTAGGTTAGAATGCCGCATTCTCGCCTGTTCTGACGTTCACTGGCACGGTCACTAGCATACGTTTACATTTCACAAGAGATCTTTTAAGTCAAATCTGAAGTTGTTAAAAGTTAATGCTTTAAAGTTTTGAGTCAAATCTGAATATATTAAGAGAAATTAACGTTTTAAATATTCACGCGCACACGAATGCAAACAACACATTAGACTGTATTTTATTTTTGTCTATATTTCTGTCCGTCTATCTGTCCATCTATCTGTTTATCTGTTTATCTTTGTTTATCTATCTATCTATCTCTATCAATCTGTCCATCTATCCATCTCTCAGTCTGTCTCTCTACATACATATATACAGAGGGAAACAGAAGAGAGCGAGAAAGAGAGAGTGAGAGAGAGAGACAGAGAGAGAGAGAGAGTGAAGAGAGAGAGAGAGAGAGAGAGAGAGAGAGAGTGAGAGAGAGAGAGAGAGAGAGAGAGAGAGAGAGAGAGAGAGAGAGAGAGAGAGAGAGAGAGAGAGAGAGAGAGAGAGAGAGGAGAGAGAGGAGAGAGAGAGAGAGAGAGAGAGGAGAGAGAGAGAGAGAGAAGAGAGAGAGGGAGAGAGAGAGACAGAGACAGCGAGGAGAGAGAGAGAGAGGAGAGAGAAGGAGAGAGAGAGAGAGAGAGGAGAGGAGAGAGGAGAGACAGAGACAGAGAGAAGAGAGAGACAGAGACAGCGAGAGAGAAGACAGAGACAGGGAGAGAGAGAGAGACAGAGAGAGAGAGAGAGAGAGAGAGAGAGAGAGAGAGAGAGAGAGAGAGAGAGAGAGAAGAGAGAGAGAGAGAGAGAGAGAGAGAGAGAGAGAGAGAGAGAGAGAGAGAGAGAAAGAGAGAGAGAGCGTGCTGTCCCGTCTGTGCAACAAAAATGATTCTCACATTACGAATGGAACACCAGATCCCTATTGCTAAATCGAGTACCCATATTCTTACACCAGCCTCCCATCCCGTCGCCACAACCAATGAACAATTACCTGCACAATACCCCAACAACATACCGAGGGAGACAGACTAGTGCATGTGGACTCTGAAGATGTTTTGGAGATAAAAGCGTGACGTCAAAGTGGCAAATCAGAGATAAGGTGTCTATCCAACGTGGGAACTGCTGGACCCTTGGAACAACTATCAGCAGAGCCTCGGACGATCTGACGAAACAACAAACAACATACTTGGCACTGGATGAAGGGGAGAGGAGGGAGGGGGTTTGCGGGGGAGAGGAAGAGGGAGGGAGGGGTGACAGAAAGAAGAGAGGGGGAGAGGAAGGGGGAGGGAGGGGACAGAGAGGAAGAGGAAGGAGTGGGAAGAGGGAGGGAGACGGAAGAAGGAGGGTGAGACAGAGGGAAGACGGGGAAGTAGAGGGAGCGAAGAGGGAGCGAAGAGGGAAGAGAGGGAAAAGGGAGGGAAAGAGAGTTCAGAGGGGAGAGGGAAGTGTAAGGGGTTTGCGAGGGAGAAGGAAGAGGGGAAGAAGAGAAGGGTTCACGAGGGAGAGGTAAGAGGGGAGGGGGTAAGCCATCTAAGGGAGAGGGGAGAGGGGGGAGGGGGGAGAGGCAGGGGTGAGGGGGGAAGAGGGGAGACGTATCTGACAGGCGGCCAGACACGTGGCTCTCGGCCCTCTGAGACGAGAGAGGCGAGAAATATTAAGGTCGTTAATCCCCTCAAGTGATAAGGCCATTCTGTGACTAAAAGACGAGGCAGGGCGCTGCGATTCCGCCCGAGAGAAGCCTTCTCGAGGGCGCTTTGTCTCAGCGGCGCCCCTCGAGCGAGTGCAGGGCGATCGCGACAGCCGGGCCGATTTACTACAGGTACTCGTCGTCTCACTGGTGGAAGCGTCGGCTGATCCATCTCGCTGCCATAAAACCCATGAGATTAACAGTATGTTAGAGAGAGAGAGAGAGAGAGAGAGAGGGAGAGGAGGGAGAGGGAGGGAGAGGAGAGGGAGAGAGAGAGAGGGAGGGAGGGAGAGGGAGAGCGTCAGGCGTGCTGCGTGTTGCAAAATCGTGATTCACGTGTGGGTACAGGCGAGTGGGAGGCCCAGGGGGGGATGGGTGGGGGAGTGATTCACTCAGGGTATCAGGGTGTGGTAATCGAAGAAGGGTGCATGTCTGCGCGCGCGCGCGCGTGCCTCTCCGCCGTGACCCCTAACATATCAAGTCTCCCCGGTGTTACTAAGCACCAGTTTGTTACTGGAGCAGAGCTCTGACGCCGCGCCGAGTAGGAATGTTGTGAAAGGCGAGTCGGGAAACTCAACACATCGCGCTGCTTTCCGGTCCTGCTCTCGGCCAGCGCGTTTCTCTTGCACTTTCGAGCGTTTAGGCGATTTCACAAAGCCTGCGAGCGAGTGGCGGGAGTGCCAAAATGGCTGAAATCCATGTCCAGCAATCACCCTCATCACGAGCCCCCCCCCCCCCCCCTCTCTCTCTCTTTTGTCTCTGTCTCTCAGTCTCTCAGTCAGTCTGTCTCTCTGTCTCTCTCTCTATATATATATGTATATATATATATATATACATATATATATATAGATAGATAGATATAGATAGATAGATCTCTCCTCTATTTCCGTCTCTGTCTCTCTCCCCTCCACCAATCATATCAACAGATAAAGGGCGGAATCAAAGCCACTGCATTATGCGAATTGTCTGTTAAATCTGACCTGCTTGCGACAGCCCTTGCCTTGCACACGTTGGCAGACGTCTCCCTCCCGGAGCTCCTAACCCGGGAACAATGGCCACGACTCTTTATTAAAAGACTAAAAAAGAGACGCTAATAAACCGACTGCTTGCCTCCGCGAAGACCTCCCCCCCCCCCCCCCGTGATGGAAGAGGTAATAACGGATGCATTTCGCAAAACAAAAATAAATGGCAGTGGCTAGGAATCCTCGGACAATTTATGGCACTCGGCACAAGTTCTTGTTTTCTGCACCCCCCCCCCCCGGCACATGAACAAAGCTATCGTGAACAGCAGAAGCGTGGTGTTTTGTTCCCTGTGACAGAAGAAGGAAATTTATTGTGTAGCTAAGCACACGAAGGTGCTTAGAAACACACACACTTGTATGTATAGACACACACACACACATATAAGTATACATACATACATATATATATATATATATATATATATATATATACATAGAGAGATACACACACATATATATGTATATACGTACATAAATACATACACACCCGCGCGCACACACAACACATACACGCAGTATGTATATATATGTATATATATATATATATATATATATATATATAATATATATATATATATAATATATATATGTGTGTGTGTGTGTGTGTGTGTGTGTGTGTGTTGTGTGTGTGTGTGTGTGTGTGCGTGTGCGTGTGTGCGTACATACACAGACACACACATACATACGTATGCATGCATGTATATGTACACACACAAAGGCGCGCGAGCACACACACACACACATACATATATATGCATATATATTTAGAATGCTTTTTCGCGGCGTACCCCCCCCCCCCTGGCCAGTCCGCCCCACGTCGAGGCCCCAAAGACCAGCCTCCGACCGCCTGGCAATGGATCACTTGAGCCCAGAGAGATTTGGCTCCCCCAGAAGCGCCAGCCGTGCTTGTTTCCCCGTCGCCGCGGCCGGGCGAGCGCTGACGCCGCGGCCGCACCTGGGCCGGCGTGGGGGGGGGGCAGCGTGCATTGTCAGCGACCTTCCTCTCCGTGCTACATGCATTCGAACGCATGAGGGAACAGACTCATCTATTTGCATCAAAACGGACTTACTTCGCGATTATTATTTAGATGTACGAACAATCTACATGTACACATACACACGTATGTATGTATGCGTGCATGTGTGTAAGTATACATGTATCAGTATGCTTACACATACATCATACTTTCGCCTCGCGCGCGCGCGCCAGTAAATGCGCGCGTGCGCGTGCGTACATGTGTATCGATCTTGACATGGCTCCATTAAAAACGTTTATATTTATGTGAATTGCAGAGTAGACAGCAAACGACAGCGACGGCAAGTCGACTTACCAAGTGTGCTAAAGTCGTCAGAGGTTAACGTGGTCTCGAGTGCTGGCGCGTCTGGCCTGGGGAAGCGAGAGGGACCGGGGTGGTGGCCGCTGCTACAGCTCCTGCTAGAGAACCACGGGAAAAACGTCCATATTGTTCAAAAGGCGAAAAACGAAATGCGCCAGCCTGGGGATGAAGTGGCCCTCCAGGATTCTTCGGTTGCCGGTGGGAGCGAGGCGAGGGCACGCCTGTCAACGCGTATGGCGGGGCAAGCTCTCGTCTCGTTCACCTCCTCCGGGCGGCGAGATGAGACCGACGGCGCCTTCGACACGGGGGCGGCTGCTCGGTGCGTAGCCGGGCGGCGGGAACGAGCGAGTCCGGGAGTCGTGGCTCAACAGCGCGTCGACCGTCAAGACGTCCGCGAGCGAGAGAGACGACCTCTTCTCTGCGCGACACACGTGGAGCGACTGAGGCAGCGAGGGGCGAGGTAGCGGTCCCTGGGCTGGCTGGCTGGCTGACGGGAGGGAAGGGGCTGACGGCGAGGGGGGCGCGCTCGCTAGTGTGGTGGGGGAGGCAACGGGGACTGGCTGACGAACTGGCTGGCTGGGAGAAACAAAGTTCTTGCTGGCAAGTTCGCCGTCTTCCCCACTTGCACGTTGGTCCCGCGAAGCATGTGACTCCGACCTCGTCTTTTCGAGCGTCCTGACGGAGGCAGCTTGGCGAGCGGGCGGGAATGCAAGCGTCCGGTGCCAAGAGCAGCGCCTCAGAACGGTCAGAGACGGAGGTATGGAGGTATATGGGAGAGAGTGTAATGCGGCCAGGGGACAGAACCAGACAATTCTGGATACGGGAGCAGCAAGCGATCAATACGGGCGGCAGGTTCCAGCACGCATGCCACATGGGCGAGCAGACGCGGCCAGGGGTGCTGGCGGAGGTACGGACCTGCAGGTGGCCTGTCTGCATGAGATCCTCACCTGGCCCTGTCACCTCATTCCTTTTGCTTCGGAGAATCCCGGAGACAATTCTTCATTTATTATATCTAATTTTTCTCAACGGTCAGTCTCAAACCGAGGCTGAAGTAACGTATGATCGAATTTCAGGGGCAGTGGCTTACGCCGTTACTGGCGCAAATGGAGAACCGAATGTGCAACGCACAGCTGTGAAGTAATTTCGTTGCTTGTATAAATGCCTGTTTGTTTCACATGTTCTCTATTCTTTCTTTCCGGCAAACACGTCCTCGAGTCAGATGCTGGCATTCGCCGAATTGTGGAATTACAGAAGCGGGAGCAGAAAATGAATGGGAGAGGCGGCCGCATCGCTGATGAAATAAACATCGGCACCTGCGTCGGAGGCTGCGCTCAAGAGGGGCACAAGCGCCGGGTCGCGCCGGAGTCGGCACTCACGCCGACTAATGGATTATTTTGATTGTTACAGGCGAGACTAAGACCCGCCTTGCCTGCCGCGGGGACAGGCTTGGACAAGGGATATTTGGGCCACTTCGCGACGCCGCGGGGAGAGGCGAGGGGAAGCGCCGGCCGAGCATCAAGGGTCAACGGCAAGGAGCAGTCATCGCCGCGCCGGGACCGAGCCTCGCGAACGAACATCAGGCTACCGAGGGAAAGAGAACAAAAGACGCTTCGTGAGCGAATGAAATAGATTCCTATACCTATTTACGCATAACCATTTCTTTTCCGCATAAATTGGGATCATGCAGGTTGTACCGCGGACCGTGCCAGGTGTACACGGAGGTGCTTGCGCGCACGCTCACGCAGCACTCGGTCCTTCCTCAACCCCGCACCTGTTTCGGCCGCCCCGAACGAGGTCGCTCACCCGCGCCCCTCTCTGCCCCACCAGCACCTCCTCCTCACGAAATGGAGGCCCGGAATCGAATTAACTTTTTAGCTGACTCCGCCGTCCTGCCCTGGACAACGAAGAGCTAAATCATCTCTTCTCATAGCCAGCCTCTTCTCCTGTTTTATTGCTAGTTTTCACTTTGATCGCTGCTTGCGTTTCCTTGCTTTTGGCCGATTTTAAAAATGTTATTCAGACCCACGTGCTTGAAAGATATCAGATAGGCCTACATCTTGGACGTGTGGTTATCGCGGTCCGTCTGTTGTTCTTTGTCTCACTTCGCGCTAAGATCTTTATCACTATTCTTTATATGATGGAATTTTTATACGACGATCAGCAATGCTCACTTCGACGTTGGTTGCTGTTACCAATACTCATGCAATAATACTAGTAATAATCATGATAATGGTAATGAAAGTGGTCATTATTCCATGGTACAGAATCTAGTCCACTACTAATGAACACAGACGTAATTATGGCACAGATAGATATACTGTATTGATTCCTATATCATTATGGATTAAATGTGTCGGTATATGTGTGATATACATCATGATCAGTGCTTTTCATAGGATGCAAACGCCATTGTATTCGCCAGAAGAATTATTCTAATTATGACAATATTGATGTTTCTTATCAATTTTATCGTCATTGGGTTCATCGGCTTTGTAATCATTCTTATCTACAATACGACTGTTATCTTTGTCTTTGCTGTAATTGTTCATCATCATTTTCGCCAGAAATATTTTGCGTCTTTGTCTTTGTCAGCCTTCATCACCGCGGCCGCTGCTCAACAGCTGTTCTGCTTAAATATGACGCCAATTCTCCTCAGACGAGAACAAACACCGTATTACCTTATAACCAAAGCTGACCTAGCTTAGCGAAGGGAAAAGAAACATCAGCTGTTTGGCCGTCACGGCCGGGACGAATGGGCCGAAGGCAATGGCGGCGAATGGGCGGTTAGGCGACGCGAATGGGCGTTAGGCGAATGGGGGCTGAATGGGCGGTTAGGCGAATGGGCGGTTAGGCGAATGGGCGGTTAGGCGAATGGGCGGTTAGGCGGTTAGGCGAATGGGCGGTTAGACGAATGGGCGGTTAGACGATGGGCGGTTACGAATGGGGCGGTTAGCGACGCTTGGACGAATGGGCGGTTTAGACGAATAGACGCTTTTTGTTCGGATTTCGTGTTTTGCGCTTTCGGTTTATGGAGGCAGAGGCGAAGGTTTTTGTTTGTTCCCATTTTTTTTTTAGATTTGAGATTTTTTTTTTTTTTGTGATTTTTGGTTTACGTTTGTACAGTGTGCATATAGAAGAAATTGTACAGAAATAGGTAACTCTCACTCTCTCTCTCTCTATGTGTGTATGTGTGTGTGTGGTGTGTGTGTGTGTAGTGTGTGTGTGTGGTGTGTGTGTGTGTGTGTGCGCGGCGCGCGTGCGTGTGCGTGCGTGTGTGTATGTATTTATATATGTATCTGTATGTGTGTGTGTTTATATGTATGCATACACACACACTGAGAATGCGTGTATGAGTGTGTATAGTACCCTGTCGCATGGCATTCCATTCATTATACCACATAATGAATGACACATATTGTGCATTACTTTAGGGGAAATAGCCAGGAACTGGAGGCTAGTGACTCAAAAGCATTTCAATGAGTTTGACGTCTTTTTCCAATAGTGACCTTTTTCTCTCTACCGATATGAATATTCTTTTAAATAATCATCTTTTCTGAGCTCCTTGTGACTCTGCCAGTAACTTAACAAACCCATAAATTCATACTCACACTAACAGACGCAAAACCCAATATGTAATCTAAAGGTTCTGTTTAACATAATTGCGTTACCTAACATGTCCAAAGAAATCTCTTGAGGTTCCTTAGAGCATTCCACAAAACGCATTTGAAGAAGCATTCCTGCTGACGGATCTGCGGCACTCGCTCTCGCTCTCCACTCGTCGAGGGGCCAGTGGTATACGCGAGAATAAGCGCACGCACATACACGGTACTCTCTTTCTCTCTCTCTTACTATCTATCTCTCTCTCTCTCGCTCTCTCTCTCTTTCTCTCTCTCTCTCCTTTCCCTCCCTCTCTCTCTCTCACTATCTCTATTCTCTCTTTCTCTCTCTCTTCCTTCCTTTCTCTTCTCTTCTCTCTCTCTCTCTCTCTCTCTCTCTCTCTCTCTCTCTCTCTCTCTCTCTCTCTCTCTCTCTCTCTCTTTTCACACGCACACACACACACAAAGACATACATATTTATATATACATAAACACATATGTGTGAGTGTGTGTGTGATTATAAGTCTTTTGTACAGCTGTTCGCTTTTTCTCTCACATGTGTGACACAGATATACGAGACACCTGCAAGGAGTACGTTCTCTGCTATTCAGTATACGTTTGATTTTTCGATCGAAAGATACGTATACACTCACACTTACCCACCAAACACACACACACACACACACACACACACACACACACACACACATACACACACAGACACACACGACACACACACACACACACACACACACACACACACACACACACACACACACACACACACACACACACACACAGACACACACACACACACACACACACACACACACAACACACACACACACCACACACACACAAATATATATATATATATATATATATATATATATATATATATATATATATATTTATATATATATATATATAAATATATATATATATATACATATATAGTATCTATCTAGCTATATGTGTGTCCTTGTGTGAGTGTATTTAGAAACACACATACGTAACTATATTTACCTATCTATCTATCTATCGATATGTATATACATTATATATATATATATATATATATATATATATATATATATATATAGATAGATAGATAGATAGATAGATAGAGAGAGAGAGAGAGAGGGAGAAGAAAGAAAGAAATAGAAAAAGGAGAAAAAGAAGGGAGAAAAAGAAAGGAAGAAAAAGAAAGGGAGAAGAAAGAAAGAAAAGAAAAGAAGAAAGAAAGAAAAAGAAAAAAGAGCGAGAGAGAGAGAGCGAGAGCGAGAGCGCACGTGAGTATCGACACGGCCGTTCTATGGCGGGGACATAATCTATGTATCATAATGCAGGTGCTGTCGCGTGACTGACATGCCACGGACACTGCGCATGACAGCACCGCGAGGAAAGGACGCTGTATCGGGACAAGAACACGCTATACAGGATAAACAAATAAAGCGACATATTGCCTGTACATTATGTATGAAGGGCCGTTGCTAAAGGAAGAATTTCATGGCGAAGAAATGTAAGGTAGAACGTAGATGAAGAAGCAGGTGTGTTTCTCAGCGTTAGATAAGGTAATAGAGTGCAATGTTTTGTATATATTATCTTTAAATCACGTGATTGTAGGTTTAGATAAGCGTCAAGTATGAGCGCTGAATGCGATGGGTCATCTTTGTTATCAATTGGGGCTGTTTAGGGGAAGTTAGCGAACACTCCCGGTGCAGACCACGCAGGGAGGCGTCAGTGCAGTGGAGTATTACTCCAAAAACACAGTGCACACAAACACACACACACATATGTATATATATGTGTGTGTGTGTA